GGGCAGGCTGACCGAGGGCTGCGTTCATTCCCAGCGCTGTGCGGGCAGCGGGGTGCCTCAGCCCGGGAGCGGTGCCCCTCTCTGTGCCCATCCTCAGCTCCGGGGCCCCGTGCTCGCTGTGCCAGGCGGGTTCAGCCCTGCAGAGCCCCGTGGGGGTCCCGGGCACAGAGCCCCGCTCATCTCGGAGGGGACACGACGGGAATGGGGCAGGTGCCAGCGCGGCTCTGCTCGGGACCGACCGGGAGAGGGAGTTTGGGGAATGCCTCTCTCCTTTTGCTCTCCTCGCATCCATCCTTCCATCCTTCCCTCCCTTTCTTTCCCCCCTCCTTTCCCTCCCTGCGGCAGGAAGGCAATTAAACAGCAAATCCACCCCCCTGCCGTAGTTGCACAATTTCCTCCGCTGCCAAACTCCCTCGGCGGCGGGGGCGGATCGCGCCCGGAGCCGCTCGGCCGAGTTGAGTGCCGGGGCCGCCGCTCCCCGCCGGGCTCCGCCGCCGCCCCGGCGCCCGAGAGCCGCTCCGAGCGGCGGGGGTGGCCACGGGGGAGGGGACACAGCGGAGCCGCTGTCGCCCGGGGGCTGCGGGCACGGCCGGGAGCAGCCCCGGGGCAGCGCTGTCGCCCGCGGGGAGCCGGCGGCAGCCCCGGAGCGGCCCCGGGGAGCGGCTGTGCGGGAGCGGGGGTGCCTCTGTGTGTCTGTCTGTCYGTSYGTSTGTCTGTCTGTCTGTCCGAGCAGCAGCCGCTCATCCCTTCCCTTCCCTCGGCTGTCCCCAGATCTGCTCCGGGCGCGGCAGGAGGTGGCGGCGGCGGCGGCGGCGCGGACCCCGGGCGCGATGGAAGCGCACATCCCCTCGGCCGGCAATTCCTCCAGCCAGCGCAGGAAGCAGGGCCTCCCCCAGCACAGGGACAGCCACTTCCCCGACAGGTACCGGGCCAGGGCCGGGCTCCCTCCGCCCCCGAGCCGGGGCGGGGTTTGGGCAGGGCCGGGGGCTCGCACCGGGGGATGGAGCGGGTGATGTGGGGTGCGGGGAGGGGGCAGCGCCTGGGTCAGACATTGGGATGGGCTGTCCAGGGCAGGGGGGAGTCACCGGCCCGGGAAATGTTAAAAAAGTGCGTGGATGTGGCACTGGGGGATGTGGTGTGGCGGTGACCRGGACAGTGTCGGGTTCATGGCGATTTGAGAGGGCATTTCCAGCACTGAGGACCGAGTGATTCCCTGCCCACGCTTGGGCAGAGCTGATTTGCCCGGGCGAGGTGTGAATGTGTCCTTTGGGGTGCTGGGGATGCTCCTGCCTCATTCCGGGATGGAAAGGGGGGATCTGTGCCTGTGCACATCTGCATCCACATCTGGGGAGCGACTGCCGGGCTGGAATGGTGCCAGTCCTGTGCTGATGATGCCAGTCCTGTGGTGATGATGCCAGTCCTGTGGTGATGATGCCAGTCCTGTGCTGATGATGCCAGTCCTGTGGTGATGATGCCAGTCCTGTGGTGATGATGCCAGTCCTGTGCTGATGATGCCAGTCCTGTGCTGATAATGCCAGTCCTGTGGTGATGATGCCACTCCTGTGGTGATGATGCCACTCCTGTGGTGGATCCCCAGAGCAGATGCCACCCTCACCTCTTCTTGGGCACAGAGCACGTTGAGGTGCTTAAATTTGCATTTTGTAGCATTCCCGGATAATGAGAGAGAACAAACGCTCTGGGACGGAACAGAAAGAAAAGTTTTCTTTTTAAAGGAAAAGACCCGCAGCTTGCCTTTCCCACTGCTAGGAGTGCTGGAAAGCTGATATCCCCCCACCCCCCAGGAAATTCTCGCTCATTTATCTTGCTCTGTGCCACGAGCCATTCCCTCTGCAATCAAGAACTTCAGAGGGAAATTAAATTAAAGCTGTGTGCGTTCCTGACAGGGATGGCAGAGAGGGAGAGAGCCGTGGGGATGGAAAGGCTTTGGATACTGTGGGATGAGCAGTTCAAGGCTCTGATATTTACACTTTTTTTTGGGTTTTGTGTCGGGGTGGGGGCAGAGCCGGCTGCACTCTCAGCTCTGCAGTGTGGCYGTGTTGAGTGCAGAGCCTTTCCCCCATTTACAGACAGATCCTGTCTGGTTTGGCTGGGCAGAGCCTCTCTCTCTCTCCCCCAGCGTGTACTTTGGCTCACCCGCGCCGAAAATCGCGGATCCTGCGAGGAATGCAGGGCTCGGGGAGCCTCGCTCGGTGTGGGCTGGAGAGGAGCCAGGCCGGCCCCGGGGCTGGCTGCAAAAACATCCACGGAAGGGTGGAGGCTGCTCCAGGGAGGGGTGGGCTGGAAACGGGGAGGTGCAGATCAAACCCAGAGGGGTTCACCCCTAACGGGGAGGAGCAGTGGGGATGGAGCTGGGCTGGAAATGGGGAGGAGCAGATCAAACCCAGAGGGGTTCACCATTGACGGGGAGGAGCAGATCAAACCCAGAGGGGTTCACCACTGCCAGGGAGGTGCAGATCAAACCCAGAGGGGTTCACCAGTCATGGGGAGGTGCAGATCAAACCCAGAGGGGTTCACCACTGCCAGGCGGGTGTGGTGGGGATGGGGATGGAGCTGGGCTGGGCCAGGAAGGGTTCAGGGTGGGCACAGTGCTGTAGGGGACACTTGGGAAGGCCAGGAAGATGGGTGTGCTCGGATATTTGTCATTAATTAATAATTATATCTTTGCTGGTTAGAAACAGCCTGGGAGTGTGGTTTTGTGAGGATGAAATAGACCTGTGGATGGGGATTTTCTTGGAGCAAGGTTTGGTTTTGTGAGGGTGAGACAAACACGTGGATGGGGATTTTCTTGGACCAAGGTCCTGTTGGTGACACCGTGGTCCCTTCATCTCTTTGCTCCCTTCTCCCTCTCTTGGAGGAATCACTGAAACTCAGACATCTTGCCAAAACCAGTCCACAGGCCACAGATTTCATTTGGTTCCATGGTTTTGGTTTCCTAAATCCATCCTAGATGGATTCAGCCTGGCCTGCTTGGTTTGTTTGAGAAGATGGTTGAGTTCAGTGGTATAAAAAGACTTGGAAAAGGAAATGGGTACAACTGAAAGGTGCTGCTGCATCTGCTCCATCCTGGAGYGTTTCCCATGCCCACAGTGCTGCTCTGCTGCGGAGCTGGCAGGTGGCTGTACCCTGCACAGCTCTTGGATCCCGTTCCCTGGCTGCTGCCTCCGAGATTTTTTGGCACTGTGCTTGGTTTGCTGGGGTCGTTCAGCCTGGAGTGTTGTTTTTTTTTTTATTTTTTCCCGAGGTGCTCATCCCTGCTGCTCTCTGTAAGGAAGATTTCAGAGGGAAAAACCTGTCCTAGAGACAGAGAGAGCTGGGGCAGGGCTGGGTGAGCTTTTGGAGTGGGGTGAACATTCTTGGCTGGGTGTGACACGTCAGCTCTGTGCTGGGAATTGTTGGGAGTTTGGAGAGTTTGGAGTTTGGAGAGTTTGGAGTTTGGAGAGTTTGGAGTTTGCAGAGTTTGGAGTTTGCAGAGTTTGGAGTTTGGAGAGTTCAGTGTGGGCCCCAGGAATGCTGCCAGCCTGAGCTGCCACCAGCACCCCCATCCCAAGGTCCTGGCGAGCCCAACCCCTTGGCAGGAGTGAAAATCCAGTTTTTAATAATGACACAGACACGGTTAAGGGGATAAAAAGGGTTTTACCTCGGGATTTGGGATCCCAGGGGCACAACTTGATGGCAGAATGTACAGCACGGGTACAAGTTTTAGAGGTTTCAGGAATTGGCATTTCTGTCTAGGATTCCCCAATAAGATACAAGTTTTATAGGGTTCAGGAATTGGCATTTCTGTCTAGGATTCCCCAATAAGATACAAGTTTTATAGGTTTCAGGAATTAGCATTTCTGTCTAGGATTCCCCAATAAGAAACTTCACAAATGCAGTGATGTCCCCCTATTCTAATGAATCCTGGATGAGGTCAGAGC